GTGTGCGCCACTACGCCTAGCTAATTTTTGTATGTTTAATAGAGTTGGGGTTTCACCATGTTGGCCAGGATGGTCTCTATCTCTTGACCTTGTGATCCACCCTCCTCGGCCTCCCAAAGTGCTGGGATTATAGGCGTGAGCCACCGCGCCCGGCCCAGTGTTAAGGTTTTTATCCCAACACCATGGATTCCAAGCTGAGCACCCAGTAATTTTTTTAAAATTCATTCCAGAGCAGAGGAAAATGAAAGCCACTGGTCCAGCCAGGGGACCCTTGCAAAATTCCAAAGTCACATCGCAGCCTGTGCATGGATGGTTATGGTTTACACCACACCTTTTATCGTCACTAGTTTCATTTACCCTCCCAAGGGATTTCTCAAACATTTCCTCAGGTTTATGGGTGAGGAAATCAAGATCCTGAAAGATGAAGTAACTTGAGGAGGGTTGCACAGCTGGAAAATAGCAGCCATGGAGCCTGAATCCATCCAGGTTTTCTATCTCTACATAGAATTCTATACAGTCTTTCCCCCTCAGGTTTTCTCTCCCTGCTTCAGATTCCTGAGTCTCTACTGTTTCTTTGCTTGCACTGCTTAAAGGTATCTGCTATCAACCATTTGCATCTTTATATTCTCTCTGAAAGTAATTGTCCTTCATTTTGTCTTGGATTATAAAGGCAGTTCTCTGTAAGAGGACTGTCTGGTATCAGCAAACAAGCCGTGGCAGCTCAGCATATACCCTTGCAAATAAAGGGTGACCTGCTTACCAGCCCACACATGGTTTCTATCAGCCTGCTTTCGCTTATCCTGGAAGGAGTGCTGGAAACCTGAATGAGTGAAGGGAAACTTCCCTTCTTCCACCTGCAAGGCAAGCTGTAGGATGGCTGCTTCCAAAGCTACACTCAGTATGACTCCTCGTTCTTGTGCTGGTGGCTTGAACTGGTAATGGTACCCATTTGGGAATGCATGGAACATTCTTGGAGAATAAAAGTGTGGGCTTGTGCATCTCTTCACTACATCTTCTCTGCCACTCGGCCCTTTCCCTGGTCTTAAGTAGACAACCACTCTGTTTTCCTGAATTTCTGAAAGCTCAGAAATGAGCGTTTCTTATCCTTAACTGTATAATAGCACATGAAATAGTCAGTAGTTACAGGTGAACTATTAGGGTAACCACTGATTGTCCATCAAAACTCCTCCTGAACTGCAAGGATCTCAGCCATCCTTCACATTTGATTTTTGCTGTCTGATTCATTATTGATAGCACATGTTTCATTTGAGAGGAAAGAATTGTCCTCCTGGGCTCCCAGCAGTGTTAGACACCCAACACCCTCTCTCTCGATGCTGGAGGATGAGAATGGTGAGCAGAGTGACTTCGATGAGCAGAGTCAGCTCCCTATCCTCGTGTTCATCTTTAGTAATGCCCATTAATAGTAGTTAATTCATATTTTATTAATTACTACTATAGCTATTGCTGTGATTATTACTAATTGCTTTTAACTGATCCTCTCCACATGGGTCATTGCATTTGATAGCACTGCTAACAATTTGATGAAATGAACAAAGCAGGTACTTCAGTAGTCCCATTGGACAGATGGAAATTGTGAGGCACGGAGGTGAGGTGACCCGGATGAGGTGGCCCAGCTTGCTGTGGCTGTAGGATCTGTGCTCTACCTCAATGTCACAATGCCCCTCTGAGATGGGCCCCGTGAATGGGTGGGGTATGGAGGTGCTGCCTTTTTGTTTAGAGGTCTTGATTTGACTCAATATCTGCTTCCGGTGGGTGCAAGTGATGTTGAACTCACACCACCACAGAATCCTTTTTTTTTTTTTTAAGATGGATTATCACTCTGTCACCCGCAATGAAGTATAGTGGTCCGATCTCAGCTCACTACAACCTCTGCTTCTTGGGCTTAAGCAATTCTCATGCCTCAGGCTCCCAAGTAGCTGGGACCACAGGTGCAACCACAACCCTCAGCTAATTTTTGTATTTTTAATAGAGATGGGGTTTTACCATGTTGGCCAGGCTGGTCTCAAACTTCTGACCTCAAGCAATTCACCTGCTTCAGTCTCCCGAAATGCTGGGATTACAGGTCTGACCCTAAGTGTCTGTCCCTTCCCTGATATGTGAGCTTATGAGGACTCGGGCTATTTCTCTCTCCCTGGCACCTGACTTGCTCCTGGTACGTTAGAGACACTCAACCCACTTTTCAACTCAAGTTTTGTCTCTTTGGAAGGAAGCAGGAAAGGAGGAGGAGGGAAAGGCAGGTGAGAAAGGTGGCTGGGACCCCTTCCAAAGGAGAAGTCGAATGGTTCAGAGATGGAAAACTGAAAGTGATGTCAGCCCCTGTGCCGGGCTGCACGAACCATCCAGAAAAACACTAGAGTGAGTCATCCCAAGAGCCGGCATCTAACAGTCATGGCTTTATGTGAGGACATGCAGACAGTCCCAGAATTTCCTTGATTTCTCCCAAACTTTCTCCACTAATAGTATCCACAGACTTTTTCTGCTTTTATATTAAGAAATTCTTATGCAGCTGTACATCCATTTAATAACCATGTGACATTTGACAGATGACTCTATCCCAAATCTCAGTTTCTTAATCTGCATAGTGGGACAATAATCTCCCACAGACTCGTAAGATGTAAGTTTTTGTGTATGTGTGTGTATCTATGTGTGTGTGTATACACATGTGGTATACACAGAAATATACATGCTACTGAAATCAAATTGGCAGCCTACCTGAAAGTGCAGAAAAACATTAAATTAGGGACTTTTTGGCAGTTTTGCAATTTTCCTTCCATAAATACTTTTCTGAAATGCTCTTTTTAAATTTCTTTCTTTTTTCTCTTCTTTTTTTTTTTTCCGACTCCCGAGTTCAAGCGATTCTTCTGCCTCAGCCTCCCGAGTAGCAGCTGGGACTACAGGCACGCCCCACCATGCCTGGCCAATTTTGGTATTTTTAGTACAGACGAGGTTTCACCATGTTGGCCAGGATGGTTCTGTCTCCTGACCTTGTGATCCGCCTACCTTGGCCTCCCAAAGTGCTGAGAATATAGGCGTGAACCATCGCTCTCAGCCCTTTTTAAATTTCAACAGTTTTTTGGGTACAGGTGGTTTTTGGTCACTTGGATTAAGTTCTTTAGTGGTGATTTCTGAGTTTGAATGCACCCCTTACCTGAGCAATGTACACTGTACCCAGTGTGTAGTCTTTCATCCCTCACCACCCGCTCCCAACCTTCTCCCCTGGGTCCCCAAAGTCCATGAGATCGTTCTTTGCCTGTGCTCACAGCTTAGCTCCCACTTATGAGCAAGAACATACAATATTTGGTTTTCCATTCCTGGAAAAAGTTACTTCAGTTAGAATAATGGCCTCCAGTTCCTTCCAAATTGGTGCAAAGTACATTATTTTGTTCCTTTTTATGGCAGAGTAGTACTTCGTGGTGTATATATACCACATTTTATTTATCATCTCATTGGTTAATGGGCATTTAGGTTGGTTCCATATATTTGCAATTACAAATTTAACGGCTATAAACATGTCTGTGCATGTGTCTTTTTCATATAATGGCACAAAGGATTTCCTTTGGGTGGACACCTAGTAGTGGGATTGCTGGATCAAATGGTAGCTCTACTTTTAGCTTTTTAAGGGATCTCCACACTGTCTTCCATAGCGATTTTACTAATTTACATTTGCACCTGCAGTGTAGAAGTGTTCCCTTTTCACCACATCTACACCAACATCTATTGTTTTTTGACTTTTTAATGACGGCCATCTTGCAGGAGTAGGGTGGTATCTCACTGTGCTTTTCATTTACATTTCCCTGATGATTAGCGATGTTGAGCAAATGCTCTGTTTTTATATCCTCTTTTGTTCTGCTCTTCCACCAGCATCTAGATCTGGCTAGAATGACACTTAGCATGGACATAGGTCTGTATTATTATTTATTTTTTTTTTTTTAATTTTTGGAGACGGAGTTTCGCTCTTGTTACCCAGGCTGGGGTGCAATGGCACGATCTCGGCTCACCGCAACCTCTGCCTCCTGGGTTCAGGCAATTCTCCTGCCTCAGCCTCCTGAGTAGCTGGGATTACAGGCACGCGCCACCATGCCCAGCTAATATTTTTTTTTGTTTTTAGTAGAGACGGGGTTTCACCATGTTGACCAGGATGATCTTGATCTCTTGACCTCGTGATCCACCTGCCTCGGCCTCCCAAAGTGCTGGGATTACAGGCTTGAGCCACCGCGCCTGGCCAGGTCTGTATTATTTTAAGTAAAATTGATTGACAGCATGTCTTCCAATAATTTGGCTGTCTCAGGCAACCACAGATCCAATGTAGTTTCCTGTTGCCCATTGTACAGGTGGGTATACTGAGAACCAGAGGAAGGGGTGGCTTCTCCAGCCACCAGGTGCATTATGGATCACCTATGTCTGGAACCCAAACCACAGGCCCAGGCCCTGAGACCTCCCAGAGCTCGGAGGTGCGGTGGGGTTGAATGAATGGGTTGCCTGCTCCCAGGCTGCACCTGGGAAGTGGGACAGAGCCATGTAACATCTATGCCAGGCAGCTGTTATTCTACAGCAGTGCCAGGGTGCCCACACCCATTCCTGCCCTGCCCCAGGGAAGGAATCTAGGGGTGGACCATTCTGCTCAAAGATGAGCACAGCAATCAGGGCTGTGGAGTTGGGAGGGTATGGCGTGTGTCACTCTGGTTTCTGGTGCTCTCACCTTTATGTGGTTTGCTGGGTGCCAAACACCCAGGTCCTAGCAAGCCAGGCCCTCATCAGTGAACCTATAGAGCACTTTAGGTGTACCTAGCACAGTGCCCCTTGCTATTTGGGATGGGAGAGGAAAAGCAAGCCTGAGCTTTTCCGAAGGGTGAGGAAGAGAACTCCCAGATGCTTTGCTCTCTGAGTGAGACACTTGGCAGGGCCAATTGGCCAGGCTGATCCGGGAAAGGGGTGGAGGTGGCAGAGGCAGGCTCAGCAGGTAATTGGGCAAAGTCCACCCAGTTTGTAGACAAGGCTTGTGGGGCTGAGGAGCCTAGAGGAACACACTTGGAACCTGGAGGCTGCAGGACCAGGACTGAAAGAGGACTAGGGATCTGCGACACCTGGGGAAGGCCAAGGAAATCCGACCTGAGGAGAAAGGAGGAACTGGGGAGGTGAGGTTAGTCCAAGGGGCATTGTGTGTGTGTATGTGTGTGTGTGGTCTGTCTGTCTGTTTCTCTGTCTTAGGGAACAGGAAGAGAACCAAGGGCCAAGGTGATCACTCAAATAGACAGACATTCTGCATCCTTCTCATGTCTAACTGGATCACCAGTCTGGCCAAGAGTTTCATGGGTCCCTGCTGGCTGTCAAGATGCTGTGGCCATGCTTTCATTTATGGTCTACCAGAAAGCTGTCCATGCAACAAAGCATTCAAAACCAGAAGACCTGATTTTTGAATCCTGAATCTGCTGACTGTCCAGCTATATAGGAAACTCACAAAGTTGAGGTGAAAATTACATAATGTCTATCAATAACCATATCTACTAATACATGTATGAAAGTACCCTGTTTTGCAGAGACAGAGACAAAGAAGAAAATAAGATAAGGAAAATCGAAGCCGGCCCCCACCAACAATGTTTCAATGCAAATTTACCCAAATATTTTACATTTTTGCTGATTGAGAAACACATGTGGTTACTTATTGATATATAAGAACCCTTTGCTGTTAAGAACATTAGCTCTTTATCTTGTACACACGTTCCGATTTGTAATTCCAAATTTTACATGTTCTGTAGAGTTGAAACATATTGTATAAAGATGGTATATCCATCTTTGCCATCTTTTCTAACATGGTTTCTCACTGTGTATCATGCTTAAGTTCTTTCTCACTCTAACATTATGAAAAAGTTTTCTTCCAGCACTTGTAATTTTGTTTTTTGAAATGATTTGTTTGTTTCCCAATAACTCACCTTTTCTCAAATGTTCTGAAATGCCGTCTTGAATTTATTTGCTATTTACAGAATGCTTCCCAATTAGTTTTTTTGAAAATATGTTTCTATTTCTCTCTTTATATTCTTACTCGTTAGATTTTTGTATGGAAAGATTTTCAACATTTTTTACTAGAAGCTTTTTAGGGTAACCGAGGATCTTGGAGATAGCTTAAAAATAGTTTCTTTCAAAATCAAATATTTATTAACTTTAACTCATTTATTGATTAAGCTCCTCAATTGCCTTGTTGCTTGGAGGTACAGTATAATTTGCTCTAGTGGGATTTGGGCTTTGCAATGTTTCACATTCTTGATCATTGGCTCCCAAAGCTGTCTGTCATGAGCATCAACTGGGGATCCTGTGAAAACCAGAGAAAAGGGAGGCCACCCAGGGAAATGCAAAGTATGATCTGAGATGGTGGCCCAGAATCTCTCTCTCTCTCCCTACTCTACTATAAATGGACAATTGGGTTGTTTCCTCTTTGGGTTTATTACATAAAGGTGCTATGGACATTGTAGTACACATCTTTGTAAACCCACAAGCACTCATTTCTATTGGGCATATGCTCTGAGATATAATAAATGGGACAAAGGGTAAGCATATGTTTACCTTTTATAGATCCTGCCAAGCAATTTTCCAGCCACTGCGTTGGTGTTGGTTTGCATACCCACCAGCAGTGGAAGAGAGTTCTACTTGCTCCACGCCCTGGTGTTGCCAGTTCTTTTAATCTGAGCTATTCTAGTGGGTGTGTAGTGAGTTCTTGTAGTTTTGTTTTGCATATTTCTGATGACTAATGATGTCAAGTGCCTTTTCAGATGCTTATTGGCCATCTGGATTTCTTCTTTCGTATTTTTTCATGTCTTTGCTTAGTTTTTAAGTTGTTGTCTTTTTTCAGTCGATTTGCAGAAGTCCTTAAAAACAGCCATGAGCCCTTTATCAGACACAGGCATTACACGTACCACTCCCAGCCTGTGACTTGCCTTCGTACTCTCTTAGGTGATCTCAGAGGAACAAGGCTCTTAATGTTAGTGAAATTCCATTAATCACTTTTAAAAAACGATTAATACTTTCTACCTATCTCATGGTCAAGAAGATGTTCTACTATTAATATATTTTCTTCTAGAAGCTTTATTATTTTGATTTTTGTGGGTTTCGAGCTTAAAAAAATTAAAGATGAATAGTTTCATATGGTCCAATCTAATATCTTTCACATTTCAGTCTGTGACTTCTCAAATTAACTTCTGTATGTTGAGTAAAATGGTCACTGTTTATCTTTTTCCTATATGGACATCCACTGTTATTATTATTATTATTATACTTTAAGTTCTGAGGTACATGGGCAGAACGTGCCTGTTTGTTACATAGGCATACACATGCCATGGTGGTTCACTGCACCCATCAACCCATCATAAACATTAGGTGTTTCTCCAAATGCTATCCCTCCCCTAGCCTTTCACTCTCAACAGGCCCCAGTGTGTGATGTTCCCCTCCCTATGTCCATGTGTTCTCATTGTTCAACTTCCACTTATGAGTAAGAACATGTGGTGTTTGGTTTTCTGTTCTTCTGTTAGTTTGCTGAGAATGATAGTTTCTAGCTTCATCCATGTCCCTCTAAAGGACATGAACTCACCCTTTTTTAATGGCTGTAGAGTATTCCATGGTGTGTATGTGCCACATTTTCTTTATCCAGTCTATCATTGACGGGCATTTGGGTTGGTTCCAAGTCTTTGCTATTGTGAACAGTGCCTCAATAAATATATGTGTGCATGTGTCTTTATAGTAGAATGATTTATAATCCTTTGGATAATAAGGAATTGCTGGGTCAAATGGAATTTCTATTTCTAGATCCTTGAGTAATCGCCACACTGTCTTCCACAATGGTTGAACTAATTTACACTCCCACCAACAGTGTGAAACTGTTTCTATTTCTCCACATCCTCTCCAGCATCTGCTGTTTCCTGATTTTAATGATCGCCGTTCTAACTGGTGTGAGATGGTATCTCATTGTGGTTTTGATTTGCATTTCTCTAATGAATGTGATGATGAGCTTTCTTTCATATGTTTGTTGGTTGCATAAATGTCTTCTTTTGATAAGTTTCTGTTCATATCCTTCACCCACTTTTTGATTTTTTTTCTTGTAAATTTGTTTATGCTCTTTGCAGATTCTATATATTAGCCTTTTGTCCGATGGATAGATTGCAAAAATTTTCTCCCATTCTATAGGTTGCCTATTCACTCTGATGACAGATTCTTTAGCTGTGCAGAGCTCTTTAGTTTAATTAGATCCCATTTGCCATTTCTGGCTTTTGTTGTTATTGTTTCTGGTGTTTTAGTCTTATGAAGTCTTTGCCCATGTCTATGTCCTGAATGATATTGCCTAGGTTTTCTTCTAGGGTTTTTGTGGGTTTAGGTCTTACATTTAAATCTTTAATCCATCTTGAGTTAATTTTTGTATAAGGTATAAGGAAGGGGTCCAGTTTCAGTTTTCTACATGTGGCTAACCAGTTTACCTGACACCATTTATTAAATAGGGAATCCTTTCCCCATTGCTTGTTTTTGTTAAGTTTGTCAAAGATCAGTTGATTGTAGATGTGTGTTGTTATTTCTGAGACCTTTGCTCTGTTTCATTGTTCCATATATCTGCTGTGGTTCCAGTACCGTGCTGTTTTGGTTACTGTAGACTTATAGTATAATTTGAAGTCAGGTAGCATGATGCTTCTGGCTTTGTTCTTTTTGCTTAGGATTGTCTTGGCTATGTGGGATCTTCTTTGGTTCCACATGAAATTTAAAGTACTTTTTTTCTAGTTCTGTGAAGAAAGTCAATGGTAGCTTGATAGCATTGAATCTATAAATTACTTTGGGCAATATGGTCATTTTCACAATATTGATTCTTCTTACCCAGGAGCATAGAATGTTTTTCCATTTGTTTGTGTCCTCTCTTATTTCTTCAAGCAGTGGTTTGTAGTTCTCTTTGAAGAGGTGCTTCACATCGCTTGTAAGTTGTATTCCTAGGTATTTTATTCCCTTTGTAGCAATTGTGAATGGGAGTTCACTCATGATTTGGCCCTCTGCTTGTCTATTATTGGTGTATAGAAATGCTTGTGATTTTTGCACATTGATTTTGTATCCTGAGACTTTGCTGAAGTTACTTATCAGCTTAAGGAGATTTCGGGCTAAGACAATGGGGTTTTCTAAATATATAATCATGTCATTTGCAAACAGCAACAATTTGATTTTCTCTCTTCCTATTTGAATACACTTTATTTCTTTCTCTTGCCTGATTGCCCTGGCAAGAACTTTCAATACTATATTGAATAGGAGTGGTGAGAGAGGGCATCCTTACCTTGTGCCTGTTTCAAAAGGAAGTGCTTCTAGTTTTTGCCCATTCAGTGTATTGGCTCTGGGTTTGTCATAAATAGCTCTTATTACTTTGAGATATGTTCCATCAATACCTAGTTTATTAAAATTTTTTTAACATGAAGGGGTGTTGAATTTTATCAAAGGCCTTTTCCTCATGTATTGAGGTAATCATGTGGTTTCTGTCACTGGTTCTGTTTATGTGATGGATTACATTTATCGATTTGCACATGTTGAACCAGCCTTGCATCCCAGGGATGAAGCCGACTTGATCATGATGGCTAAGTTTTTGATGTGCTGCTGGATTCAGTTTGCCAATTGAGGATTTTCATATGAATGTAGGTCAGGGATACTGGCCTGAAATTTTCTTTTTCTGTTGTGTCTCTGCTAGGTTTTGGTATCAGGGTTTTTGTTTGTTTGTTGGTTGGTTGGTTGGTTGGTTTTTCCATTCATTGAAAGGGTCATCCTTTCCTTTGAACTGCAGCGATGCCCTTGTCACATATCAGGTGACTTACTGTGTGGCTCTGTTGGATTCTCCAGTCCTTTCCATTAGTTAACTTGTCTGTCTCTGTGCCAGTACCTTAATTCTGTAGCTTTATAGCCGTCTTGATATCTGGTGGCTGAATGCTTTAAAAGACAATGGAATCACCAGGTAGGAGTCACTTGTTTAGAGTAGGATCCTCAAACTTGGGTGCTCATTAAATCTCCTGGTTTGAAGTTCTTAAAAGCACCCTCACCCAGGCTTTATCCTGCATCAACTAACTCAAAATCCCCAGAGGAATGTTCTGAAAATAGGTATTTTTTTTTCTTTTTTTTTATTGCATTTTAGGTTTT